TTTTTTCCACTTTTCCACTGTTAAATCAACTATTTTTTCCTCTGGAAAGTGAAAAGAGTTGCCCTTTGTGTGTGTGTGTGTCAATGAAGATTCCAAGCAAGTCACATCTGCAATCTTGTCACAACCAGGCTATAAATCTACAAAGCTTGCAGCCGATGTTGTGATCATACGTCTACAGAATAAAATGCTGTTTTGATCAGACTAACCTGCACCGGAACTGGAGAGAGAGTCTGAGTTCTCATGAGTCTGGTTGTCTCTTTCCAGGAACTGATTGCTCTAAGGGGAGTTGATTCAGAGGAACTTTTATGAACAGGCATAAGTTTATAAACTCACTGGTGGACACTTGAATACTGTTTCATACACTTCACTTCCTGGTCCTTGAGCATCATGAATCTGGCAGCTGCTACCTTCTCAGGGACAGAAATCCCAATATCCCTAGTATCCTTGAGGGTATCGTGGAGGAATATTATCAAAAGGACTACATTTATATATTACACAGTTTTCTAAATTCAGTTCAGTTTTAATTCCCTGTGTATTAAATAGCAAAAAAGGTAAGTACTTCAAAAAATTCATGGCAAGATTCATATTATCTTTTAATTATATTTCTCCATGAACATTTTGAAGCACCCTTGTATGTCCAAAGGGCTTTTGGGATTCTGTTGAATCATAAAGCTCTTATGTTCTAAGATGTCAACAATCACCTAGTCTATGTTTCCCAAATATAAATTCCCAAGTGTGAAACTGAGAGTAGGAAAACTACCAGAGGAGCTTGTGAAAAATATAGATTTTTGTATACCACTTAACCCTGTCCTAATTCATCAAAATCTCTTAGAATACATCGTTATCTGTCCAGGAAAACTCTCATTGTGATTCTCATGGTCAGCCAAGTTTGAGAAGCATTGATCCAGTCTTCACTATACAGTTGAGCAATTGAGGCACATAGAGACCCCAATGAGTGTATGTCTAACCTGGAACAACAAACATGGATTTGTGGAATTCCAGGGCAGGACTCATAACTTGATTATAACTTCTAATCCAGATGTCTTGCAGCTTTTTAATCTTTTTGTTTTTAATTCTGTCACTGCATCAACATCATATAGTATTTTCTGAACACTATGTACAGTCCTTACCATGAGTGATGTTTACACACACACACCTCAATCATAAACACAAACACAGGTAGAGGCAGTAGCCTGGATAAATAGATTTGTGGAAAAGACAATGAAATGATGACAGAGAAATGATTATGATATGTTTATTAATAATATAAAAATAAAGCTCAGGTCATGGCTCACAGTGAAGGAGAAATATATCACCAGGGCAAATATCAGTTATCATATGAGAGGAATATTTCTTTGTACAAATGAGTCTCTGTGGAATCTACAGGTGGAAATGGTGTTAGGTAAGTCCAGTCAGTGATACGTGGCTCATCGTACTCAGTAAAACTGTTGGGTTGAAACATTGTATGGTTTCCCAACCATGCTTTCAGGAAAATACATTTTCCCTACTGATTGAATCAGTCACCTATTTATCACAAGTGGCTTTGTTTACATTCAGTTTCTTTAGTTTTTCTTGTTAGTCACTTTATATTAATAGTGACTGCTGGCTACAAATAAAGATTAGAGTCAGTTAACAGAAGAATATTCATGAGCAGTTACAATTAAAAAGGGGCATCTTAGAGGTAAATCAGTCCAATCTCCTTATTGTTTTGGTAAAAAAAAAAAAAAAAAAGTCTCAATGAACAGGAAAGACCAAAAGGATGAAAACAAATCTTTTGTCTTTAACGTTTGTGTTTATCTCTTTCACATTCTGTACACACCTCCATTCCCATCCCAAGCTGGCTAGATTTCACTGTGTTTTTTAAGACTTCTGTCAGAGTGCATTAGCTCAGATCTGTTGTTTCTCATGTATTCTTTCACTGATACAACATGTATATGTTGAGTTTTTAATATTTACCACTCACAATTCTACACCCTAAAAACAGCCTTAAATGCTTCATAGCAGAATTCCATTCTTTAAAGAAAATGGCAAACTAGGGAGGAGATATGAATAATGCTGAGTGAATGGCAAACTAGGGAGAAGATATGAATAATGCTGAGTGTGATCATGCTGAGATTCTCAGTTTAATAAGACTTTTCTGTCATAGATATTTCATGAAATACTTTGACTATGAAATATTAGAGTAAATATGATAATAAGTAATACCTTACTTCTTTAGATATGCTATTTTCTCATTTTTTTTCTCCCCCAAATTCTGTGAGGTTGCTATTATTGTCTTCATCATACTGATGAATGAACCAAGACTGAGAAAATTTAATATCATGCAGCTTAAGTTATTACTTCCAACTACTTCCCATTAGCCTTCTAGAAAACCTTCCTGCCCCACAGCTTTTTCATTACTTTCTTTACTTCTGCATTTCTCAGTGTATAAATCAGAGGATTTAACATGGGGGTGATAATGGTGTAAAATACAGCCACCATCTTATCCTCTGAAAAGGTAGTGTCGGGGCGCATATACATAAAAGTGCAGGGCGCAAAAAAGATAATGACCACAGCAATATGAGAGCCACAGGTGGAGAGAGCTTTGCGCCTGCCTTCTGCTGACTGCTTTCTCAGGGACACCAGGATGATGGAATAGGAGATTAGCAAGATAACAAAGCTCCCCAGAGCAATGGTACCACTGTTGGCTGTCACAACAACACCAACAACGTAGGTGTCTGTGCAGGCAAGTTTCAGTACAGGGTGAATATCACAAAAGTAGTGATCAATCTCATTGGGTCCACAAAAGGGGAGTTGGACTATGAGAGCCACTTGGATAATGGAGTGCAAGAACCCACCTACCCATGTCCCCAGTAACATTTTGCAGCACCTGCCCCGGTCCATGATGGCCATATAATGTAGGGGTTTACAGATAGCCACATAACGATCATAGGCCATTACAGTAAGGATGAAGATCTCAGTGCAGTCAAAGAAATGTACCCCAAAGAGTTGCAACATGCACCCCATATAGGAGATCCTTTTGTTCTTTGCTAACAGGTCAACAATCATCTTGGGGGCTGTGACCGAAGAGTAACAAATGTCCACAAAAGACAAGTAGTTGAGAAAGAAATACAAAGGAGACTGGAACAGGTTGCTCAGGCAAACTGTCAGCATAATGAGGAGATTTCCCAGAAGAATGACTGTGTAGAAGACAGAAAACACCACAAAACAAACTTCTTCAACCTCTAGGTTCTGAGAAAGACCCCAGAAAATGAATTCAGTTACATTGTTTATCTGTCCCATTGAATAAGTCCAGGAGATCAAGTTCCCAAGAGGCAATTAAATTACCTGAAAGAAACAAAGAAAGGACTAACAGCGTGTATTTCTAACTCTGAACCAAGGGATAATCACAGCAGGTACAAATAACAAACTGGGTACTTATTGCTGATTGGCACGCACACTTAAATAAATTAAAGTGCATTTATTCTCATCATCTTACCTCAATATAATATATCACTCATGCATTTCAGATGAGGAAGCAAAGTCCAGAGAGACAAAGCAAATCCCCCAAATCTCATGATACCAAGCATCTCTCCTCTGTCACCTTATATTAAGTTTTATTCATCTGTTGCGAAAATTTACTTAGTTCTTATTTTGTCTAAGGTGCTAAATTTAATTTTCAAACAAATTCTGTGTTTGGAGATATTGTAATGTTTATTTGTTTGGAAATGTTTGCTGTATTTTGACCCAGAAGTGAAAGCATAAGCTCGCATTTCCCTTCTCAGTAGTGCCGAGACTCATCATCACATCCACTCATGAGGACTTGGGTCATGGAGACTGGTGACCTCTGCAAATTCTCCTCCTTATGAAACTCAGATCTTTGTGCACATAATTTAATCCCCACCCAACCTCATTTGATATCAAGATCTTATAGTCAAGATGTGGTGTGGTGTAGTAGAAATAGGAACAAAATTACACACACCTGATTTTGAAATAACAGTGCTGTAACCCTGGGAAAATCATTTAACTTCAGGGAGCTTCCCTTATCCCATTTGTGGAAAGGACAGTTTCCATTTCACTATCTCCTATCACATTAATAGTTATTTCTACCGTGAAATTAAATCATTTCTGTCAGCATGGAATAGCTATAAAACCCTGTTACTGAGAGAGAGATAAGAGAAGATAAAACAGCAAAAGAAACTTGTGGAGCTGAGGCAAGAAGCCCTGCTGGATTTGGAAGGACGGAAAGTAAAGCTTCAAGTAATTTCTCCATCTTCGTACTCAGAGGACTGGATTCCCTAGGATTTGTTCTGCCTTCGTATTTTAAATATTTGTCTGTTAAATGAAACACACAAAAAGAAGGGGAAAAAAAAAACTTTGACCTTTAACCTCATGTATACTTCCAATATTTCAAATTTCATGCTATTTATACTAGTTCTCCCAGCTTGGATGAATTAAATATTTCTAAAAGATATTGTCACTGAAAAATAATTTGAATGGCTTTATGAAGAGGACAATATTTATTTAAATGGATGAATCTTTAGTGGTGGAATTTCAGGCACTCCACGGGGGTCACTGGCATGTTTGGGTGGAAAGGGTATGTGGAATAGTTTTGATTAAAGAGGCCTTCTGGGTTCTTTCTCAAATCAAAGCCAAAGATTTAAACAAATCCTTCATAGATTGTCCACCTGAGACCACATTCCCTCAAGATCCGTCCAGTTTAGTGCTTACAGTTCCTTCTGAACTCTGCTTTCAGCTGTCCCTTTGTAGTGACATTGTGCCTGGCACTTGCAGCCTTTGGGAATCTACAGGGCTGTGTTTCCTCATGACTGTATGTTAGCTTTGGTAAAGCAGTTATTACGGGTGTCCTTTCTCTCATGAACTACAAAATAATGATAATAATTGTGGTAATAATAGTAATAGTAATAATATAATACAGATAAAAACTCAAGCACATCACTGGCAATTACATGCTCATTCCCCTTTGTTTTTTGTGCTGAATTTTAAAAAGAACCCTTCACTTTAAGGGAGCTCAAATCAGAGGAGATTTTGGAAACTGGTATTTACGTTGTTCGGCTTTCATCTAAAAGAAACTGGACGCTTACACACGAGCCTGGGAACTGTTCCTCTACTGCCTATAGCACATGGTCCTAGCAGAAACCTTATCTCTCCTTAAACCAAGATCCATCTCAGGGATTCCCTCCTCTCTTTTCTGAGTATTTCAAATATTATAATGCCCCACTTTCCTCTGACATGATTGGCATTTTCTTACATTCATGCTCCCCTGTATCACAGTGATGTATAGATACACATTGCTGTCTTAATATCATCATCTTAGTAATTTCACTCACTCCCCAGAACAGTCTTGTTACAGGTGTTCAAAATGTAGAAATTTAATTCAGTTCTCTTTTCCCACAAACATTCTGTATTAGTTTTAGAAGAAGAAAAAGTCTCACCAGTGTTTTCCAGTATTTTTCTATCTCTTCTTGAGATGATTTGGGTACAGCTGTCTGAAGTAAAGTAAGAGTGATGCCTGAAAAATTGCTTTGTAAATAATTAGTACAAGAGAACCCCTGCCCCTAAGCTCAAAGGTTGGTAGAAATTAGTCTTTGCTCTTCCTGGTTGTCTTCCCTGCTGAAATCAGCCAGTTCACAGTGCCTTTGGCAATAAATGCTCTTTTCTCTACTTCTTATAAGGTCTATTTAAAGAGAATGAGGGAAAGCAGTAATGACCTTGGGGAAAGCCTTTCCCCAAAGTCTTCCTTCATAGTCAAAACCAAATTGCAGACCTAAAAATGAGTTTTAATTTACAGTGCTGAACAATTAAAAATAAACAAATACATACATAGATAAATAATAAAAATCTTTGCTATATTTGAAACCCCATCAATTCTCGCTTTTAGGATCATAAAACTAATACAATGCAATTCAGAGAACAGAAGTAGTAGTTTTATTGTTATATACCTAGTTCTTTCATGTGCTTCAATATATACCTTAAATAGTGTATATTTAGCATAATGTATTCTCTCTTTTTAAAAAAAATTGTTTATTTTAATTGACATACAGAATTGTACGTACATATGCAGTAAAAAAACAAAAGAATGTAACATATATTAAAATATCTGTTTTTACACTATTTATTGAATTGTAATTGTTCTACTCTTCTGAAAGTTGTATTTGAATGAGAAAGACGTAACTGTGCTATTCAGGTTCACTGCTCTGCTTCTTAATTGGGTCTATGATGATTTCCGGAGAAAGACGCAGATGAGGTTCATTCCTGCCTTACATGGGATGAATTGTGGTATTGGTTTTAATTCATGTACTTTTTTAGTGTAAACTGCTAAGGGAGGCTCTTGACTGTAATAGTCATGTTTTTTCCTTTCCTATTCCGGTTACTCCCTTTCCCCTCATGCTTGCCTTTTTTCTTCCCCATTCTACCATTTTCCCAGCATCGTCTTCCTTTTTCATACAGTATGTAAAAAGTCGAGAAAATCTTGTTCATGCTCTCACTACCTGGGGTTAGAAGAGGAAATAAGTAATAAATGAAGAGCAGGAGGTAAAGGAGTGATTGTGTTCAGGTTTGCAGAAACACTCAACATGATTAAGTTAACATATTAGTTATTAGTAAATTTCTATTGCAATAAAAAATCATATACTTAGTGGTTTAAGTCAATACAAATTCTGTGTCATACAGTTCTTAAAGTCTCAGAATCCAAACTGAATCTCGCTGGGCTAAAATAAAAGTAATGGAAGGGCTGCATTCCCCTGGGGCTCTGGGAAAATCCCATTTTCTGGATTCTTCCAGCTTCTAGAGGCTGCCTTCTTCCTGTGGCCTCTTGCCTCCATCTTCAAATCTAGCAGTGCAGCATGTTCTTCCTCAAGGAAAGTTCGGTATCTTTGAAAAATAAGAAAACCTTGAAAATTGCTTGATTTACATGATACTTGTCATGTTTAAAACACAGCAAAAAATCTAGAGCAGGATGAATTTGGAGAGGTTTAAGAAATGAGTTTGGACCCATGTCATCCAGGATTTTGTAGGCCAAGGGGGGATGATTGAATTTTATTCACTGTAGGATAGGAATCCCGTGGGGGGGGTTGAGCAGGAGAGTGATATGATCTGAAGATTTTTGAAGATACCATTTGGGCTATTTCATGAGAACAGATTGCTGGAGGCCAATATGAAAGCACAGAGTATTTGCAGATGACTATGGCAGCATGCTAAGTGGGTAATGGTGAGTTGGGAGAATGATCAAATTAGGGATATTTTGATGATAGAGTGAACAGAATTTCTGGAATAGAGTACTAAAAGACATTGTAAGATTTTTCGTCTGAACAATAACGTAGTAGGCAGCACCATTTACCAAGATGGGAAAATCCTAGAAGGAAAGGTTTATTATTTAAAACATACATTTTAGTTTTATAAGCATGAAATTGATATTGAATTAGAGATGTAAGTTAGGTAGTTTTATACACAAGATACATTAATAATTGGTTCTACTGATTTTGAATATGTCACTTACCTTACATGGCTTCTCAAGTACTGCATTTCTGTGCATTTATACATGGAGCACCTTTTCTTGGAATTCCTTTCCTGTCTTCTCTTGTTCCAGTCAATACTTACTTTATTCGCTTTAAAGCTCAGCTGGGGCTTTGCTTCCTCTGAGGTCTTCTCTGGTCACGGCTTGATTTAGATATCTTGGTGCTGTGAATCCTTAGCATGACGTGAATATATATATATAATGACACTCATTAAATTGGATTGTAACTATCTGATCTCCTCAATATATATCAAGTCCCTCAGGACAGGGCACCATGTCTTATTCAANATTTTGACACAAGTGTATGGACAAAACAAATGTTTTGATTAAATAAGTAAATAAAATGTCCAGATTGTAATACATTTGAAGGGTTTCTCCTCTTTTTTATGGGTAAACTGTTTCTAATATTTGAAATTAACACCTATGAGGAACAGATGAAACCAAGGAACAATGTAACTTACTTCGTCCTCTTGGGCCTCATCTAGAATCCAAAAGAACAGAAAGTACTTTTTGTCAAATTCTTCCTCCTGTCCATTTGGACCATGGTGTGCCCCAACTAATGTCATGACTGTAACTGTCAGTAAGACCCCAGGATTGCTGATGTGCTATTCTCTTGCTAGTTTAACATTTCCTGATGTATTCCTCAGCAGCGTTTCCCCCAAATTGACTATGGACATGTTCTTTAAGCAAAATATCATGCCCTTCCAATCTAGTATGTCCTCGCTTTTTGCAGAGCACTTTTCTGGTGGGTCAGAGGTCTTTTTTT